TGGAACTTGTTACGTAGCCGGTGCTGGTGTTGAAGTCACAGAGGTCTGCCTGCCTCCCTTTCTGCCTGCTTGGATTAAAAGCATGCTCTACCACATCTGGTGTTTGTTTTTTTCCAAACAGGATGTTACCCTGTTGCTCAGGCTAGCCCTCATCTGGAGATCCTCCTGGATTACATGCTGGGATTACAGACACGCAGTCAAGCTTGTTACATCATTGGAAAGTTTTTATAAAAATTAATGCTAATGGCTACTGCTTTATCAGTTATGTTTTAGCAGTTATTGATGTCCCGATTTTGTGTAGAAGAACCACTTTCCTGCTTGACCTCTTGGTCCCCACAGCTCTCCCTTTGAGGGAATATTAGTTATCACCACTGCTATGTTCGAAATCAGTAACTTTATATTTTGTATGACAATATATGATGATATCAAGTTTTATGTTGGTATCTTTCTGGCTCAAATATTCTGGAATGTTCTACCTTTCTCTGTCTTGCCTTGTGAAAAGTCTCTGGTAGATCTGGGGATGAGAAATTGAAAAGTCACATAGGTAAATACTGAGGTTTGCTTCTTTTGTGGAAACTTTTATTTTTTTTGAGACAGGGTCTATATATACAGCCTTGGCTGTCTTGGAGCTTATTGTGTAGACCATGCTTCATGCTGGCCTCAGACACGAAGAGATCCACCTGCCTCTGCCTCACAAGTGCTGGAATTAAAGGCATGTGCCACTGGGAAAAGTTTTTAAGTCAAGAGTGACTGGCCTATACCTGGGTGTGGGGGTCTGGAAGTCCTAAAGACCCCATCCTAGACTTGGTATGGCAAGGTGCACTTCTCTGCCCCACACTGAGTTAATATGTTAGTGTCCCCACAGTTAATATGTGATCGTCACCGGGAATGGGACGTTCTGGTCTTTGGATGGTAATTTTGGCATGAGATGATAATGATGTCCTAAGAACAGACTTGAGAAATGCTATTCACCCTGCATTGTGGGAATACAGCAAGAAGTGAACATTTGCACACCAGGAAGTGGGGCCTCGTCCCAAGCCCTACCACAATGGCACCTGCTCTCAGACATCAAAGGTTTTCGTTGTGCAAGCCACTGTCTATGATATTTGTCACAGCGGCCGAGTAGATGAGACATCATTTTCCAAAAACAGTCGGACGGCTTTTAGATTCATTATGTGTCTAATCAAATAATATAAATTGAATTTAGGTTAAGCATCTGTTATTATTATTACTATTGTTATTACTGGAGGTAGAACATAGAGCCTTGAGCATGGTAGGCAAGAACTCTACCTCTGAGTTAGATCCCCAACCCTAAGTATCTAATGTTATTTTGATTAATTTCTAATTTGAAGATGATGATACTTTTAAGTGCAAACAGCACATATGTCTCCTATGCTATAAAATCAGCTAACAGAGTAGGAGGAATTAAATTGTTATGGGTACCAGTGAGAGCAGTCTTGTGACCTGTGACATCTCTTTTTTGGAGGCTCCTTAGAGGTTCTTTTTGGGGGGTTTTGAGACAGGGTTTCTCTGTGGCTTTGGAGGCTGTCCTGGAACTCGCTCTTGTAGACCAGGCTGGTCTGGAACTCACAGAGATCCACCTGCCTCTGCCTCCTTAGTGCAGGAATTAAAGGCTGTGCCACCACTGCCCAGCTCACTTGCAACTTGCAATGTGTACACTTTACAGTGCTGTTGGTTGGAATTTACAAGCTGGAAAACACATCTGTTGCCGACAAAAAAAATCATAACATCAAACAGTGTATTTAAACTGAGCATGGTGACTCACACCTATAATCCCAGCATTTGGGAGGTTGAAGCAGGAGGATTGCCCAAGGTTCAAGGCCTTTCTGGACTATATTATGAGTGTCACACTAGACAGGGCTACAGTGTGAGAGACCCTGTCTCAAAAAGGAAAATAGGTTTTCCTCCATCTTTATAATGTCAGAGTTAGGGCTGCAGGGATGGTTCAGCTGCTAAAGACTAGGCTCACAACCAAAAATAATGTTGGAGTTGTTTTTGTAGTTTCTATCGGAACGACAAATGAACGAAATTTAGCATGCCTGCCATTTTCCTCATTTTGTTTCCCCCAAACATTACAGACTGTAGAAACACTCGATGTTTTATTATCCTATTACAAAGCTTTATTCTTTAAAATTTATTAATTTATTTTTTACATTCCAATCCCAGTTTCCCCGCCCTCCTTTCCTCCCAATTTTCCCCCTCTCCCCACCTCCCATCTGTTCCTTGGAGAGGGTAAGGTCTCCTCCCCTTTATTATTGTTTAATGTATTTTAATAAGTAGATGAAAAAAAATACAGCTGAGCCGGGTGGTGATGGCACAAGCCTTTAATCCCAGCACTAGGGAGGCAGAGGCAGGTGGATCTCTGTGAGTTCCAGGCCAGCCTGGTCTACAGAGCAAGTTCCAGGGTAGTCTCCAAAAAAATACAGAGAAACCCTGTCTCGAAAAACAAACAAAAAGTATCTCGTAATAGCAAATATATTATTTTAACTACATAAAAAGTGTCGATGTTCTCAGTAGGCAAAGATTAGTGCTTGGTGTGGTGTCCTGGTAAGGGGAAAATGGTGCTTGGGAAAGGTGGCAGGGGTTCCCTTTTATTTCTATTGGAAGCGTCTTGGCGCCTCTTCTCAGAATGATCCTGTTGTCATCAGTGGCCTACCCTTGGCTCCATTCATCACGACAAAATGGCCAAACACCTTCAGTGGATGAGTAAGGACTTTGCTAGTGTAGAGATGTACAAGTGAGAAATTCCATGTAAGCCAAACTGGAGAGCAATTGCCAGGCTCTCCTCCAAATACGGTGCCTTTGAGTGATGGGGCAAAAGCACCATCCCCTCATTACATAGCTTCTCAGGTGCAGGTGTGTTGTTCTCTGTGCTGATGAGAAATGGGATCCGCTTGGGCTGGCCCAGCTCCCTTTAGCCCATACGGCAGCGCACTGTTGACACTTTTGTGCATTTCCGGGTCTCTGTCCTCTGCCCGGTTATACTTTGCAGCCTTCAGTACGCTGGCTTTTTCACGATGTAGCGTCACTGCTCACGGTGAGTTGTTGGGGCAGGGGTGCACAGGGTGGGTGTGCGAGTCGGCCGTTGCTTCCTGTCACACACACCACATGAGGCATGCTCATGGCTGCTATGGTAGAGTTTGGTGAACAAGGACGAGAAACCTCTGATTAAAATGCTTCTCTTACAGCCAGGTGGTGACCCAGATGTAAATTCCAAGCCTCTGGGCCGTGCTTCAAAACACAGGGCAGACATCAGTAGTCTAATGTTCTAAAGCCAACAGCAAGGTTTAATGTATTTACTTTATGTCTTAACCATGCCTAAATTGCTAAAGCTGACATTAGGTTCCTTCTTTACGTTGGTTTATTATGCTAGCTTCCCTCCATGACTCCTTCACAAGTTGTTCCACGATTCCACAAATGTCCAACTTAAGCTTGCTTAAAACACCTCTTTTATAGCCAGAAGGTGGTGGTGCCTTTAATCCCAGCACTCCAGAGGCAGAGGCAGGCAAATTCCTGAGTTCCAGGCCAGCCAGGGCTACACAGAGAAACTGCGTCACAAAGCCAAACACAAACACCCATGAACAAAGCCCCACATCACTTTATGTCCGAACAGTGCATACTGTGACCACTGTATCACCGTCTGTGTGGTCCATTCTGCGCACACAGCACGTCCGTTATGTCCTTTACAGAATCCCAGTGCTTCTCCCCGAGGGCCTTCTCTCCGTATCCACACGGCATCTTGTTCTTATGGTGTGCGTCTTATAGCTGTGGTCTGATAGTGATGGGGTCTTGCCACGCAGCGCTGGCAGATCTAGAACTTGGCTATGGAGACCAGGCCGGTCTTGAACGCACAGAGATCCACCTGCCTCTGCCTCCCGAGTGCTGGGATTAAAGGCGTGCGCCACCGCCACCTGGCCTTGGTCGGTTCTTATGACATAGGGTCTGACTATATTCCTCATGGTGGCCTTGAACTCATGATTCTCCTGCTCCAACCTCCGCTGTTCTGGGATCACAGGTATGTACCACCATGCCTGGTAGCTTCAAAAATATTAAAACAAAATTGTACCTTTACATTTCTTGTGTATTTGTGTGTGCATGGGTGTGCATGACTTGTATGTAAGTCAGAGGACAATACATGTAACCTCCTACAATACATGTTTCAGGGATTAAACTTGGGTTATCAGGCTTGGTAATAAGTACCTTTACCACCAAGCCATCTGACTGGCTGCAGAAACCTCTAGAAAAACAACACTGAAATACCCATCAGTGGATGAATGGAGAGACAAAGTGTGGATAGTTATACAACGGACCATAATTTAGCCAGAAGAAGGAATGAAAGGTGGATATATGCTACATAAACCTTGAAAACACACATAAAAGAAGCCAGACACAAATAGTCAGGCAGTTTGTGATCCCATCGTGAAACATCCAGACCACATAAGAATTCAGATTGATGGTTACCAGCTTGTGGGGGGAGGGGGCATGGAGTTTGGGGTTTTCTTTTGGGGTGATGGAACTGTAACCAGACAGAGGTGTGCAATGTTGTGAAAGTGCTGAACACCGTGGGTGCGTTTGCTTTGAGCAATTAATTTGTTATTTGCATTTTATTGTAACTGAAACAAGTAAAACACGGCCCTGTGATGGTTCTTCAGGAAAAGCCACGCACTTCTGAGCCTGCCATTCTCTGCGAACCTGGTTCCACGCTCTGCAGGTTCTCTGCACCCTCCTGTCTCCACAGGTTCTCGCCTCCCTTTCCCTTCTATCGCCCCCTAGTGGCTTTGAGGCAAGTCCCACCATGGAGGCTAAGCCATCTTCCCAGACCTCCCTTTTTTGGTGGGCTTGAAGAGAGCTAAGCGAATCTGGAAGTCTGGAGTGAAAGAGAACTGGAATCGGCTTCCCATTGTTCTACTTAACTGTGTGACGTAGAGCAAGGTAAGCGCTCCACAGCCCCGTCTTGTGACACAGCTGTGACAGCCCCACGGCAGGAAGCAGAGCGGTGGGAATGGGGTATATCCACACGAGACGAGACTGCAACGGTGCATCCACACGAGACTGCAACGGTGCATCCACACGAGACGAGACTGCAACGGTGCTCGCATAAAGTGTCTCCGGGAAACAGTGGCTCTTGGGAGGCCTTTGGTTTCTGGCTGTTCCTTAAGGACTCTGTCAGGTGCTTCTAGAATCAAGTTCCATTAGTGGTCCCCTGACTTACGCTTCCGGGGGTGAACCCAGGGCCTCATGTGTATTAGGCAAGGACTTTGGCACTGATCCCTGCCACTCACTCACTCACTCACTCACTCACTCACTCACTCACTCACTCACTCACCTGCTGCTGTGTGGCTTCTTGGAGAGCTTCCCCACCTCGCATGCCTCCCTCGTTAGGGTTCTATTCTGTCTTCGCTAGGTTGTCCTCCACACAGCTGCGCTTGTCATGACAGTGGGGAGGGCCTTCTTAATTCAAGGCCAGGGCTAGTACTGCTTTCTGTGGCTTTGCTGTGTGTGTCACTAGGAGATGGCACAGCCACCCGAGGCACACACATGTAGGTCAGTTCACTGAGTTTAAAACTTCTGCATGTGGCCAACCCTCTGCTTAGACCTTGGATCCTTTGTGTGGTCTCATGGCCTGGCACATAGGCCTAGGTACCAAAAAACTGCATCATGATGGCTTCTCGAGTCTTTTCTTGTAGCTTTGAGGTCACTGGGTGTGTGCTGTAGTGCATGCATGCGTGCGTGCGTGTGTGTGTGTGTGTGTGTGTGTGTGTGGTGCATGTGTGTATGTGTGTGTGTGGTGTGTAGTATGTGTGGGGTGCGTGTGTGTATGTGGTGTATGTATGTGTATGGTATGTGTGGTGTATATGTGGTGTATGTGTATATATAGTATGTGTGGTGTGTATGTGTGTGTGTGGTGTGTTTGTAGTGTGTGTGGTGTGATATATATGTGTATATATATATGGTGTACATGTAGTGTGTGTGTAGTATATGAGTGTGTATGTGTATGTGGTATATGTGTATAGTGTGAGTGGTGTGTATGTGTGTATGCAGTCTGTCTATGTGTATGTGTGTGTAGCATGTGTGGTGGGTATGTGCATATGTGGTGTGTGTGTGTATGTGTGTAGTGTGTTAAGTGCCCCACTGAACCACATCCTCAGTCCTCTTTTTACTTTTTGAGATAAAGTCTCCCTGAGCTGTGCAAGCTAGCCTTGAACTTGTGATTGTCTTCCTCGGCCCCTGAGCACATGAGTTTACAGTCCTGTGTGCTCTAACACGGGTTTGTGAAGAGAAAGCTCAGTGACAGGAAAGGAGCCCTGTGCAGTTGAGGATCCCTAGCAGAAGTCTGCTCACGTTCTGGAACATTCGGTCACACCCCCTCTGTGCCAGCAGCGCCACTGATGATTGCATCCTGTTCAACACACTTCCCTGATGCCGTCCTCCTCATCCAGGCCTGCCTCTCCCTGAACTGGGCGCACCCAGAATTCAACCCTGAGTCATCTCGTTGCTGGAAACACGACCACCTTCCACAAAAGCTCTATAAATTTGTTAGACTTTTAGGGCTTCTTGGAACACTGATTTAAGGCTGTTTGTGTTAGGTAGCATATCAGCGTTCAGTGTGCCCAGCATCCCTTGATGAAACTGTAGATTGAAAGTCCTGCAATACTTGTGTGACTTTCCCCAGCACCTCTCAGGCTGTGTGGAGAATGCGTCCTATTAGAGCTTAGCCTGGGTTAAGTTCACAGAGACAGCAGACAGGCAGCCCAGGCTTTGCCCACAGAAGCCACCATGGGTGGTTGCACCCCGGAGGCAGGACCGAGTAAGACCATCTGTCCCTCAGTTTCTGGTCAGTGTGGGAGTGTCACCTCCCAGGTTCTCCTTCCACAGCGATAGGGATGGATCCGGTGACTGCACATGCTACGAGAATGATCTGCCACTGGGTCACATCTCAGCCCTGAGCTTTTGTGAAATTGGTGGCATAAGTACGATAAGATCTCCTTAACCCTGGGATCGCCACTTTCCCTAATGATTCCAAAGTATTTGAAAATGCTGGAATTATTTATTTTCTTTCCTACTGGTGATTTTTCTTTTGAGGTTTATTATTGTTTCCCCTTGATTATTATATTTTCAGACAGTCTTCATGTATATCTCTGGCTAGCCTGAAACTCACTATATAAACCAAGCAGCCATTGGAACTAAATGTTTGTGTGACTGTGAGCAGCTGTTTCTTTATTTGGAGACAGGTTCTTGATATGTAGCCCAGGCTACCTCCAAACTTCATATCCTTCTGCCTCAGCCCTCCCCCCAAGCTCCCCAAACGCTGGCCTGGCATTTTAGTTTGTTTCATGTATGTGGGTGTTTTCCCTGCATATATATCTGTGAGCCACTTGTGTGCCTGGTGCCTGCAGAAGCCAGAAAAAGGTATCAGATCCCCAGGAACTGGAGTTTCACGTGGTTGTGAACCCTTGTGTGGGTGTTGGGGATTGAACCTGAGTCCTTTGGAAGAACAGCCAGTACTGAGCCATCTTTCCAGCTCCTGGCATTTTATTTTCAAATGTGTTAACTTTCAGTCTGATTTGAAAAACACCTGGCCAGTGTGCTGGTGATTACAAAGTCATCCAGACTATGACTGGTGAGAAGCCCTGGGAACTCACTGAATTGTTGTGCAACTGTAGGTCTGCAAGTGGTAACTCCACCAGAAACACAATGGTGCATCGTGGGAAAACGAAGACAAAGTGTCTAGCCCAATGCTGCTTATACAGTAAAAACACATGAATGTTTCTGGAATTCTGTCCTATACAAGTGAGCACTCCTTAGGGGCTCATGTGCACCTGTCTTTAGTGCAGTGTTGTTTGAAGTGGTTAAAAAAGAAAAACCTGAGCACAACTTAAATGCTTGCTGGCACGCAAGTCGTACCTATTACAAAGGGAATTCTAGATCTAGAAGAGGACCTCACACACTTAGTTTTCCTTGAGAGAAAGTCTTGGGAAAATTCATGGAATGTAGCTTTGAATTCCTGATCCTTCACTGCTGGAACATTCTACCACAGTACTTTGTTTACAGGGTGCTGGAGATCAAACTCAGAGCTTCATGTTTGATAGGTAAGCATTCTACCAACTAAGATATATCCTCTGGGCTTTTTAAAAAAAGAAGCCCGTCCTCTCTCCATCCCTCCCTCCTTCTCTCCTCTCCTGCTCTCTCCCTCTCTTTTTCTTTTCATCTTTCCTTTTGCTGTGCGAATGGTGGGCAAGCACCCAGTCAGTGGGCTACATTCCCAGTCCCATGACATTTTCTTACACGAGAAAAACAACCCCCCTAGATGTGGATTGTGAATCCAGCTTCATTCAGCCTGCTCTCTCGCCCATAGGTGTGTCTGTGTACTCATTCAATTAATGGATTCAGCAATTCTGAATGGTCCCCTATACTGTAAGTCTCAGACAGTTGCTGGTTGTCTGAAGAAAACAAACAAAAAAAACCATCACCACCATAAACAAACAAACAAACAAAAAACCAAGGACTAAAGCAGACAAAAACTTAACAAAACCAAAGTTTTATGATAAAAATGTTCGTTGTAAAACCAGAACATAGCGATTCTCTCACTGATTTTTAAAGACTGCATGGACCACAAGCATGCAAGTACACAAGGATTGGATTTTAACGTGGATTAAAGACGTGCCAGACAGGAGATTTTGAGAAAAATACATGGGCACAAAATAGCAATACTCAAGTCAGCAAAATAAACACTAACCACCTCTAGAGAGCTACCTATGGGTGGGAAGAGAGGAGAACAGAAGTGGGAAGGAAGATTAAGAAAGAATTTTAAAGATTGGCCTACAGAGAAGCAGGCTCCTCGCACTCTGCTGTAGGTGTTTCCTTTTGATTAACTCCTCCCCCCCCCATTCCTTCCTAAACCCTTCCAACCCCAGGTCCCTCTCACACTTCTCATAACATGCATTCTGTATTTTCTCCTCTTTTGTCTCCCTCTCTAGCCTTCCTCCCTCTAAATGTACTCATCCACACACAGATGACCATATAGAAAAATTAGAAGCTACAGGAGGACCTCTCTTAAAACACAGCAGCCAGAACAACTTATGAAGGGCACAGCAGCATCTACCTACGGTGAGATACATCTCTGGCCTTAGCAGCCACTTCTCCATAGAGCCGAGGTAGTGGTTCTCAACCTATAGATGGAGACCCTCTTGTAAACCTCTTATCTCCAAAAAAATTTACATTATAATTCATAACAGTAGCAAATTATAGTTATGAAGTAACAACAAAGGTAATTTTATGGCTGGGGGTCACCACCACACGAGGAGCTGTGTTAAAGGGTCGCAGCATTAGGAAGGTTGGGAACCAATGGCTTCGAGGAGGGCTTAATGTGGCAAGTGAGTCCTCAGGGATTCAGTAACCAAACTACCTGCTAAGGCTGGGCGAGCATTGAACGCTGCTGCTGCTTCAGGCCTTGGACTTCCCAGCCCTGCCTCATACAGCATCACTAGTGATGTCCAAAAGAAGCAGGAACCCTTGGGCACCTCTGCTCCTACAAACCTGGGTGATTACTTTAGAGGGGGTGTTGGCAGTTAGTTAATTAGTTCCCTTAAACAGTGGCTTTGGACTTTCGGAATTAGAATTAACTGATGGTCTGAAAGAACGCTGTGTAGTTTTTATGGCATGGAAATGTCCTCCTTGGGGTTCATCTAATGTTTCTCCTCCTTGTTTTCCCAGACTTGCATCTTTAGGGCACTTATCTTTTGAGCTTTGAACCCTGACCCAGTGGCTATGCAATTTCATCAAGGTAAACAATTTCCTGGAGAAAAAAAAAAAGACAAAAAACCAAACCAAACTGTGAGCAAACAGCTCGCTTGTGATAACAGGGCCCGTCTTGCAGCATGGTGTCTGACGGTAATGTCTTGAGTCAGCTGACAGCAGTAGCTTGTTTCCTTTGTCAACTGTCCCACAGATGCACTGCACTCTCTTAGGGTACAAACCAGGGTAAACACAGAGGGTTTGGGAACGCAGCAGAGTTCATACACAGCTATAGAGTGGTTGTGGCCTGGATGCCAGGACCTTGCTGTGTGCTGTTGGTCATCCTTCTCAGGGGCTCTTTGGGTGTAAAAGGGTGCTTCTGCCGTCGCCACCCCTCTATTGGAAGGATGGTAGTCATTATAGTTAATGAGCTGTTTGCTTTTCCATTAAGAGATTCTTAAAGGGTTGATAACTTGGTAATAACAATAATTTGCTTCAGGTGGCAACTCAGTAACCAGCATAGATAGCCAGCCATTGCCTTTGTCCGCCGTTAATACGTGCGGGGAGCAGGTTTCTGCCCTGTGTTTATCAAATACAAAAGAAAACACATTCAGGAGTTAGAAACAGTTCTATTTCCTTTTATAATTCCCATTGCTAATCACTTTGTTGGATATAAAGTGTCTTTGGAGAAGTCAGAGTTGAGACAAGGGGGTGGGAAATCTTTTTAAAGAGATTTTATTTTATTTATTTTTGTTTTTTCAAGACAGGGTTTCTCTGTATTGTCTTGGAGGCTGTCCTGGAACTCACTTTGTAGACCAGGCTGGCCTCGAACTCACAGAGATCCGCCTGCCTCTGCCTCCCGAGTGCTGGGATTAAAGGCATGCGCCACCAATGCTTGGCAAGAGATTTTATTTCTATATGTTTATGTGCATGTCCGTATGTATGTTCACAGTACCCTTTGTAATATCTACTATAGTAATTGGGTAAATGGAACCAAAGTGTTCTCTGGAATTCTGCTGTCTGTAAGTTAAACCACTCCAAGGAGGGGTCATGAGAACCCTCTGTGTATAGCTGCAGAGTAGCTACAGTATAACTTCAATATAACTGCAGAAGTGTGGTTGACAGCCTGCTGGTTGTGATTGGTATGTGTGTTAGCTTCCTGTCAGTGTCTGAATACTTGAAATGGCTTGGAAGGAAGAAAAGTTGACTTTGGCTCGTGGTTTCAGTCCATGGTTGCTTGGCCAGTTGTTTTGGACCTGTGACCATGTTGGATGCCGTGGTATCAAGCAATCTGCTCACACCATGGCTGTCAGGACGTGAAAGAGAAGGAGGGGGTGGGGGGGTCCCCATACATATCTTCAGGAGCACTCCTTCAATGATCTCATTTTCTTTCATTATCTCCTACTTCCTTAGGGTTCCACTGCCTCCCAACAGCGCCATCACCTGGCAGCCAGGGGCCAGTATGCAGGCTTGACAGATAGTTAAGATCCAGATCATGATAGCTTCTGAAGGGCAGACAGTCCTGTGAGACTGGGCCCTTGGCTTACCAGCTTGCTGCCTTTAATTCCAGATCATTAGTGTTAGAGAGTGAATTGCAGAACTCCCCGTCGGTAGTCTCCAGGGAGTTGCTTGGCGTGTGGGAAAACCCCGCCAGAAGTCAGCTACTCCGCGTTGAGCCTGTGAGCACAGGAAAAAGAGTTTGACTTGAAATGAAAGTAATGTAAAAGAAAAAATCTTTACTCAGAGTGAACGTTTGCCTTAGGGGATGTCGAGAGTCCTTATCTGAGTAGAAGTATGTTTGCAGGCAGCCGGGGAGTGGAGGAAGCAGCCTAGTCAAGACGGCGAGGGAAGAGGGGTGCGGGGCAGCGCCCCCTCTGGTGATGTAGCGGCACAGACGAATAAGGGGATACCGATGATACTGATTGGGGGAGGATGCCTGAAGAGGAAGAGGCAGCAGTTTCCTGTTATGAAGTGTACAGTTTATGTTACCTGTTCTGGGAGTTTCCAAGGCTGGAAAATACAAACAAGGTGGTGTTAGGACTGGGCAGACCAACTCATTCTTAAAAACAGTTTTTTTATACTTATGTAGCTCAGGCAGGTCTTGAACTTGTTATATAGTTGAGGATGACCTTGAGCTCTTTATCCTCCAGCTTCTTCCTTTCTCCATACCCAGATCAGCCTTTACATTTTCTGCTGACTTTCAGGGGGTAATGTTGACTGAAGAAGACTCAGACTTTGGAGGAGTCGGTAGGTGGGACCCCGTTCACGTCATTATCTTCATCTCTATTACTCTCCTTGTCATAGTGACATAACCTGTGACAGAAGGAACAGAGGAGGGATTTCATGTCACAGTTCAGGGGATTAAGTCCCTCAGTGGCGGAGAAGACAGGGTCCCTGGGGGAATGTGATCCATGACGGTGGGTGGTCCTTACAGTGGTTACGTCATGGAGACAGACATCGGACAGGGAGCATAGGTTATAGCACATAGAGCTGGGAGCAGGTCTCTGCTGAACTCCTCAGAGCCACCCCCCCCCAGTGATCCACCTGACCAGCCAAACCTGCTGCCTCATGGGTACCACAGCTTCCCACGAGAGTGATCCCACTTGGGATCAGATGCTGCCACACATGACCCTGTGGGAGGCAGGCTCCTGGCCACTGAGGCAAACTGCCATTAAAAACAGACCTGGAAAACCTCCAACCTAACTCAGAGGTCTTATGCCAGGCCTGGTGGTATATGCCTATAATCACAGCATTTGGGAGGTTGAGGCAGGAGGATGGAGAGTTTGAAGCCAGCCTAGGCTACGTGGCGCAACTGTTTTAAAATGCTCAGAGGGTAAAGGTGCTGGCTGCCAAGCCAAGCTAAATTTAAATCTTGAGACCCACATGGTGGATGGAGGGAAGCCACTCTTATAAGTTGTCATGTGACCTTCTCATGTATGGTGTGGCATGTTATGTCTATACAAATATATACATACATACATACAAATAGATAAATAAATGTTAAAACAGAACAAATAGGCTTCAAAATTCAAACCTGAGTCTTAAACCACTTAGTATATGAGAAGAAGCATTGTAATACAGAAAGAACTGGCCAGGGGCCACAGCTCAGTGGTAGAGCGCTTGCTTAGCATGAGTGTGGCCCTGAGTTTGGTCCCCAGCAACACTGACCTGCTGAAATAAACCACGAGGTGAGGGTGGGAGCCGTGTGGACAGCTGGGAAAGAGCTCTGCAAAGACCCCAGGATGGATGTGTGTCCCGTGTATCCACAGGCAGCCGGGGGCAGCGTGGCTGGAGTTGAGTGAGGGAGGGTTCATACAAGGGTATGAAGTCAGAGCAGTTTTGGGAAGGGAATTTTTGGATCATGGGACCTGATAGGCCATGAAGGGACTCTGAGTGAAGCTCAGAGAAATGTCACAGTGTGCTCTTCCATGGGGAAGGCTTAGGCTGTGCTGAGGTCTTTGGTGGGTAGGGATGCAAAGAGTAACTAGGAGGTTACTGCAAGAATCCAGTTGAGCCAGGTGTGGTGGTGGTGGTGGTGCATGCCTTTAATCCCAGCACTCAGGAGGCAGAGGCAGGTGGATCTCTGTGAGTTTGAGACCAGCCTGGTCTACGAGAGCTAGTTCCAGGACAGCCTCCAAAGCCACAGAGAAACCCTGTCTAGAAAAAAAAATCCAGTTGAAAGGCCATGTGGATTGGAACAGAGGGTTGGGCCACAAGGCCAGAGGAATGAAGTGGTCTCTGACGCTGAACTCCTAACTCCATATCCTGGTACTAATTGAAGGCAAGTGGCTCTCATGTGACTCATTATCACAGAGCATCTTTTAGTATTGCCGATTGATCAGTGGAGTGTCCGTGACAGCTGACAGTTGGGCTACATACGAGTGAGAACTTCTCTAGCCAGCAGCCTGGTCTTTGAAAAGTCCTGACAGCCTTAAGTTACAGGTGTGACTGCTCTTTCAGACAAGAGGGGCCCGTGAGTGGTGTCTCTTGTGCAGGCTCCTTGGTAGCAGAAGTTAGAAACTGATTCATGGGAGGCAGGGATGCTGATCATAACTCATGGGCTTTATCATTCAACTTCTGTTATTCAAGCTGACATGTTGGAGACTCCTGCCTCTGTGGGCCTGGGAGTGATTCATCATAGGGCTCTATTGTGATTTTCTATAAAAGTGTAGATGTGTTATATTCTTTGTGAGTTCCAGAAACTGTTAGATTCCCAGTTATAGATGTGCCAACCTCATGTCAGCTTTCTTGCTAATGCCAAATTTATTGAGTTTCAAAAAACTAAAAAACAAAACAAAAAAATTGAAAGCCAGGTGGCACACACCTTTAATCCCAGCACTTGGGAGGCAGAGGCAGGTGCATTTCTCCAAGTTTGAGGACAGCTTGATCTACAAAGTGAGTTCCAGGACAACCAGGACTACACAGAGAAATTCTGTCTCGAAAAGCAAACAAACAAAAAAGATGTATTTTAAGGCCCAGAGAAGTGGACTAGGGAGTTAAAGTGCTTGCTGCTAAGCCTGGGGATCTGAGTTCAATCCCCAGGACCCATGTGGTGGAAGGAAAGCCCTCCCTCCCCCAAGTTGTCCTCTGCCCTCTACATGTGTACCAGAGCATGCTCACATATGTGGATGTACACATGTGTGCCAGAGCATGCTCACATATGTGGATGTACACACATGTGCTCACATACACACAGAATATAAACAAGTTTAATAAAAAATTTAAAATAGGCTGGTTGGTGGTGGCACACGCCTTTAATCCCAGCACTTGAGAGGCAGAAGCAGGCGGATCTCTGTGAGTTCGAGGCCAGTATGGTCTAGAAAGCTACACAGAGAAACCCTGTCTTGAAAAACAGAAACAAAAACAAAGTGCTTACAGCCCAAGTCTAAAATCTGAGTTTGGCCACCATAATCATGGTGGAAAGAGGGGAACCAATTCCCCAAACATTGTCCTTTGACCTCTACACTCCTGCTTGGCACACATGGGCCTGCACGTGTTTGTGCAAGTCAATCAATCAATCAATCAATCAATCAATGGAAATTATTCTCT